TTTTACTATTTGTATTCTTAAAAAAAAAGAGTCCTGGGACTAAAGATGGGTGATTAATAAATCAGTCCACTGATTGGATTGGTACTGCCCTAATTCTGGTAGACTGGATATAATGCAAGGGGCAGAAAGAGGCTTGTCTCTCCTTGTTGCTTTTGTTGTCTTCTGTGATCATGAATTGTTGTCCTTCTGCCATGTGACAGTCTGCCTTGGAACCAGCTGGTTACAGATTGCAATCTCTACTGTGAGGTAAATAAACCTTTCCCCTTTTAAAACTAAAAACTAAAACTAAAAATATATTGCTCAAGCTGGGCTTGAACTTTCTGTCTCCACCTCAGCCACCCAGAGTAGGAAGATCACAGATATGCACTACCAGGCCCAGCAGCAAGGACTATTTTGCCTACATGGTTCTATGCCTCTTTTTGCTTATACTACCCAATATATAAGAATATTCACTTTGGTAGTCCAAACCGTGTCTCAGAAAATTACTTGTGGCCAGGCACGGTGGTGTATGCCTGTAATCCCAGAACTTGGAAAACTGAGGCAGGAAGGATCACTGAGAGTTTGAGGCCAGCCTGAGATACATTATGAGACCCTGTTTCAAGAAAAAAAAAATAGTTTCATGTGATGCTAAATAGAGAAACTACTACAAGTCCAAATAAGTCTGGGAAACATGGTGAAAATCAAATTAAACTGGCTTTACTTCCCAGAACATTTATTTTTTATTTTTTAAAAATAATTTTATTCGAGCCTGCCCTTCCCCCAGGCATGCTGAGCCAGCGATGGAGTCCAGGCGTGGTGGTGCTCACCTGTAGTCCCAGCACTTGGGAGGCAGAAATCAGGAGGATCACTATGAGTGTGGGCTATGTAGTGAGACCCTACACACACACACACACACACAAAAAAAAAAAAAATTATTGAGAAACAAATAGCAATGAGCCTCTTTCGGGTCCTCCTTTCCAAGATGACGAAAAAAAGAAGGAACAACAGTTGTGCCAAAAAGGGCCGTGGTCATGTGCAGCCTATTCGCTGCATGAACTGCGCCCAGTGTGTACCCAAGGATAAGGCTATTAAGAAGTTTGTCATTCGGAACATAGTGGAGGCTGCCGCTGTCAGGGACATTTCCAAAATGAGTGTCTTCGACGGTTATGTGTTTCCCAAGCTGTATGTGAAGCTGCATTATTGTGTGAGTTGTGCCATTCACAGCAAAGTGGTCAGAAATCGATCTTGTGAAGCCCGTAAGGACCGAACTCCTCCACCCCGATTTAGACCTGCTGGTGCTGCCCCACAACCTCCACCAAAGCCCGTGCAAGGGGATCTGGGTCTTAATGGACTGGAGAAAACTCTTGAGAAAGAAATAATAAATTGAATGTTATACTTTAAAATAAAAAAAAACAAAACAAATAGCAATGAGACAGTTTCAAAACCAATTAGTAGGACAATTTCAATAATTAATACATTGCATATTGTTGTCTTTTTAATGGTTATTCATAGTACAAGATGCAGACATGATATCCTGTCTACAAATACTATTAGAACAAATCTTTCTGTTCATTGAATTAAGAGACAGTAGCTGTATATTTATCCTATTTTGAATATACAAATACAAAATGGTCCTTCATTTGTATCCTCTTTTTTTGTTTAATTTTGTCAGAGAAGGGCCAGTGGTATAGCTCAGCGGACTAAGCGCTTGCTTAGGTAAGCGTGGGGGCCAGGGTTCGATCGCTGGCTCCGCATGCTGTGTGGACCCTGCCTCCGGGTGCGCTGAGCCGGTGATGGAGTCCGGGTGCGGTGGTGCGCGCCTGTAAACCCAGAACTTGGGAGGCAGAAATCAGGAGGATCACTACTAATGTGGGCTAGGTAGTGAGACCCTGCACAAAAAAAAAAAAAAGTTTTGTCAGAGAAGGGTATTTAAATATTGTAGGTGCATGAATTCAGCAAAATAATCCCATCTAGTCCAGTAGTCCATAATAGTAGTGTATTATTCATAAGTCTGGCAATGTCAGAAGTTGTTGGCTTGAGCCTTTTACAGCTCAGCATATTAATATGGCTTTATTTTATTTTTATTTTTTTGGTGGAACCAGGGCTTGAACTCAGGCCCTCGTGCTTGCCAGGCAAGCGCTTATTCTACTGAGCCATCTCCCCAGCCCTGGCTTTACTTCTTATACTTTGTTTTTATACTTTTCTGCTGGATGATTAAGACCAAGATAAAGCAAGACCTATATAACAAGAAGCTTTTGTATCTGACAAGGTCAGTCAGATCCCCTCGGGATTTACCCTGAAACCCTGTTCTGCATCCCAGAACATTTAAAATGGTAATACACTGTACTTTGTTCACAATGAAGGGAATGGGCTATAAGTGTGCAGCTTATCCAGGGAACAACTTCCCACTCAGGGTTTTTTTTTTTTTTATTAAGATTAAAGTTTTTAAACATCTAGTCAATAATTAAGCAGTTTGATTAGATTAGCAATGACCATTTTACAGATAACAAAACTGACGTCCAAGCCAGGGGTGGTGATGCATGCCTCTTCTCCTAGCACTTGGGAGGCTGAGGCAGGAAGCCTGCCTGGGATGCACAGGGAGCTCAAAAGCAGTCAGGACTACATAGCAAGCCCCAGGTCTCAAAAACAAAGCAAAACAACAAAAAACCCAAAACCCAAAAACAAGGAACTGAAAATATAACAACAGAGACAAACAAACAGCAACAATAACAAAAAACACCAAGGTCCAAAGACACGGACTTGCCAGATGTGGTGGGACATTCTTACAATCCAGCACTTGGGAGGCTGGGAGGACCACTGTGAGAGCTGAAGACCAGCCTGAACTGCCTATAGAGACCCTTTCTCAAAAAACAAAAACAAAACAAAACAAAAAAACCCCTCGGATTTGACTTCTGTACCAGATGGTAAGAGATGGAAACAGTGTGTGTGTGCCTAATCTCAGCTGGTCTCCCCGAGACCCCCCCAAGGACCAGCCCTAGTCCCCCACACTGCCCTATATCTGCTCCGACAAGATGAAAGAAACTATCATGAACCAGGAAAAACTCGCCAAACTGCAGGCATAAGTGCGCAGTGGTGGGAAAGGAACTGCTCGCAGAAAGCGGAAGGTGGTTCATAGAACAGCCACAGCACATGATAAAAACTTCAGTTCTCATTAAAGAAGTTAGGGGTAAACAATATCTCTGGTATTGAAGAGGTGAATATGTTTACACACTATGGAACAGTTATCCACTTCAACAACCCACGAGTTCAGGCATCTCTGGCAGCAAACACTTTCACCATTCCAGGCCACCCTGAGACAAAACAAATGATGGAAATGCTGAACCAGCTTGGTGCAGACAGTCTGACTAGTTCAAGGAGACCGGCTGAAGCTCTGTCCAGACTCTCTGTGGATGGAAAAGCACCGCTTGCTACTGGAGAGGAGGAGGATGAGGAGGTTCCAGATCTCGTGGAGAGTTTTCGTGAGGCTTCTCAG